ACCAAACACAAGCAAGGTCTGGTGGGTGGCCCAGCACTTTAATCTTTTAACATTTCAGCACCAAGGAGGCAGAGGCAGGAGGATCTCTGTGAGTTAGAGACCAGCCAGAGGTACCTAGTGAGATCCTGCCCTGCCTTAAATAAAAAAAGAAAATAAAATAAAGAAGCCCCTTAAACCTCACAAAAGTGACCACTTGCTGGTAGCTCTTGTGAAGGATGGAAGGAAACCAGTGATGGAAGGGGATGTCTCAGCGGCCCATGCCGAGACATCTCTTCCCCCTGAGGGACCAGCCACACTCTGGTATAGCATAGAATAGAGTTTATTCAGGGCATGGGGAGGGAAGCCAGGAGAGTAGTAGAGGCAGAGAGAGAGAGAGAGAGAGAGAAAGAGAGAAAGAGAGAGAGAGAGAAAGAGAGAGAGAGAGAGAGAGAGAGAGAGAGAGAGAGAGAGAGAGAGAAGAGAAGAGAAGAGAAGAGAAGAGAAGAGAAGAGAAGAGAAGAGAAGAGAAGAGAGGTAGAGGCCAGCCATGACCACATAGAGAGAGGGGGAAGGGGGCAGAGAACCTGCAGGCGAGGGATCAAGGGAGCAAGAGAGAGAGGAGGCAAGCAGCCCCTTTTATAGTGGGCAGGCCTACCTGGCTAGGAGGAACATACCTGGCTGTTGCCAGATAACTGTGGAGGTAGAGTTTTGACAGAATACTAACATTCCCACGTTTTGGTTTAATTAAAAAAGAAATTTAAGCCGGGCGTTGGTGGCGCACGCCTTTAATCCCAGCACTTGGGAGGCAGAGACAGGCGGATTTCTGAGTTCGAGGCCAGCCTGGTCTACAGAGTGAGTTCCAGGACAGCCAGGGCTATACAGAGAAACCCTGTCTCGAAAAACCAAAAAAAAAAAAAAAAGAAATTTAGAGCCGGGGGGTGGTGTCACACACCTTTAATCCCAGCACTTGGGAGGCAGAGGCAGGCAGATTTCTGAGTTCAAGGCCAGCCTGGTCTACAGAGTGAGTTCCAGTACAGCCAGAACTACACAGAGAAACCTTGTCTCGAAAAACCAAAAAAAAAAAAAAAAAAACAAAAGAAAGAAATTTAGAAAGAGGTTAAGGCGAAGCAGGAATAGGGTTGTAGTGATATCTGGCTACTTTCTGCTGGCATTGGGGGCGATGTGTCTTTAGGGGGAACCTAGAAGAATGGGTATGGAGGATGTTTGTCCAGTCTTAGGAGAGTTGGCTGTTTTCTGCTGTCCAGGGTCTATGGCGCCATCTGAGGATAGATCAGAAGGAACAGGTCCAGTAGAAGCAGCTGTGTGTGTGACAGGAGATGGAGCATCTGGAGCTTGCTTCTCTGGAGCTGTTCTGGATGTGTCCGGACTTGACAAGATGTAGGGAATAAGATTAAGTACACTTGGGAGAAAGAAAAATTTTCTAAGATGTACATTTGAAACCCAGAGGGATCCCACCCTTTGTAATAGGTAGTAAGTGGGAACTTTAGGAAGATGTACTTATCTGGATGTCATTTATTTGGTCCATGAGAGGTAGATCTGAGTGGGTTTCCTGTAGCTTATGAGTTTACAAAAGAGATAACAGCATGAGTTAACAACACGAGCAGTCTTTTTTTTTTTTTTTTTTTTAAAGATTTATTTATTTATTTTATTTATGAGTACACTGTCGGTGTCTTCGGACACACCAGAAGAGGGCATCCAATCTCATTATGGATGGTTGTGAGCCACCATGTGGTTGCTGGGATTTGAACTCAGGACCTCTGGAAGAGCAGTCAGTGCTCTTAACCACTGAGCCATCTCTCCAGCCCCACGAGCAGTCTTTAAGATGAACCTTTGTTGGATCGTATAGTGGAATATCTTCTTAGAGTTAGGCAACTTTATAGGAACTCAGATAATTTAGGACAGTGGGATAGTGAAAAGAGGAAATATGAAGCATTTAATTGATGGCAGCTGAGCTTAGGTAATGAGGTAACAGATGAAAAGCTTTAGACTCCAGCCCAGGTAGTCCTGGCAAGCCCCACACTGCTGCCCACCCTCATGCCTCAGCCTTCCGAGTGCAGAGTTTTGCAGGTGCCCGTTACCATTTATGGCTACATTTGGGAGTGGGGGAGTTCAAAATGTGTATGTCCAGCCGGGCAATGGTGGCACACACCTTTAATCCCAGCACTTGGGAGGCAGAAGCAGGCGGATTTCTTGAGTTCTGAGGCCAGCCTGGTCTACAGAGTGAGTTCCAGGACAGCCAGGGCTACACAGAGAAACCCTGTCTCGAAAAACCAGAAAAAAAAAAGAAAAGAAAAGAAAAAAATATGTATGTCCAAAGAGCCAGAATTACCTTGTTTGACTGTGTGGATGGTCCTGAATTACCCATTCCACAAAGGTCTTTTCATTGACCGTAATGGTCTATGCTCTTGCTTAGTCACGGGCATACTGCAGGTCCCTGGCCTCTCAGTCTTCTATGGTGAGAATGAGGTGGTCATGGGACTCCAGAAGCTGTTGATGCCAGACACAGGAACATGCTTACCATAAAATGGATTGTCACCACTGTTGGCACATTGTAGCAGAAGGTTCACCTCTGTTTAGTTCCCGAACTTCCAGTCAGGCTGGGAGGAAACCCAGTTCACTGTCCACCATGCACCTTTCCAGAGTCCCAGGCAGCCACTCACCTGTCCTGCCCTGTCATAGAACTGTACCTACTTTTTGTTCTGTATCTGGTTTGTTACAAAGGCAACCTCACAGAACCCGTTGCTTCTGCCTCCTGAGTGCTGGGAATAAAGGAGCACACCACCTGGCCATTTTAAATTTGGGGTGGGACTCAATTAGTTCAGGCCTGCCTTGAACCATGTGGTGGAGGCTCATCTTTTTTTGTTTTTTTTTTTTGTTTTTCGAGACAGGGTTTCTCTGTGTAGTCCCCTGGCTGTCCTGGAACTCACTCTGTAGACCAGGCTGGCCTCAAACTCAGAAATCTGCCTGCCTCTGCCTCCCAAGTGCTGGGACTAAAGGTGTGGGCACCCACGCACACACACACACAAACACACACACACACACACATCCTTAATCCCAGCCCTTGTATGGCAGAGGCAGGTGGGTTTCCGAGTTCAAGGCCAGCCTGGTGTACAGCTCAAGTTCCTGGACAGCCAGGGCTACATAGAGATCCTGTCTCAAAAAACGTCAACCAAACAAGACACTGGATCCCCTGGAACTGAAGTTACAGCATCGTAACCTGCTATGGGAGCTGAGACCTGCTCCTGTGCTGCAGCATTTAACCATGGAGCCAGCCATCTTCCCAACCCTTCATTTTACCGTTATTTACACTTACTTACGATGGAGGTCACAGGACAACTAGCTTTTGGGTTTCTTCTCCTACCACGGGCAGGGAATCTCGAAACTCAACTCAGGTTAAACCCAGTGGCAAATTCTTACCCATTCAACTACTTTTCCAGCTCCTCATTCCATTAATATGGCTGAATAATATCCCACTGTGGCTGGAGCAGATTCTTGCCCAAGCCAGTTAATGCAAAGGTGGGCATTTCTGCCTTTGTGCTAATGCAGTGTTCTTGTTTGTTTCCCAGAGTTCCTGGGGGAATGGACAGACTATAATATAAAGGGCGTTTACTGGATTTGCTTACATAATAGGGACTGAGTGGTGTCTCAGTGCCAGAGGGCTCTGTTCACATACCCAGGAGGTTGCTGAAGGGCAGGAGGCTCTGAGGAGTGCTGCTGCTGTTTGTGTGAGTGGAAAGGCTTGGACTGGAGCTTGGTGGCAGCAGGCACTGGAGAAGCAACCCCATACTGAGACAGGCTGCTCCTTCCATCCATCTGGTCTTCCCTGATGCAGCTCAGTCAGGTGGTTACGCAGCCACTCTGCATCACTCCCCTGCACGTGCCTCCCCGGACACACAGAGCTGTGACACCAGGCCAGTCAGTCAAGCAGACAACTGAGCTCCTGTTGTTTTCAGACAGGGTCTATGTAATGCTAAACGACCTGGAAACTCCCTGTACACCAGGCTGGCCCGGAACTCAGAGTTCCGACTGCCTCTACCTCATGAGCACTGGGATTAAAGGCGAGCACCACCCATCCCTGTCCTACTCTTACTACCACAGACACCTGAGATGGAGCCCTCAGCAGGTAACAGCCTCCACTTCCCTGTGCACCCATGTCGGGTAGCTTACCGCTGTCTGTGACTCCAACTCTCTATGATGGGGTGCCCCTGGCCTCCTTTGGCACCCATACGTATGTGCACATATACACATACACACCAAATTACACAGGCCCTTAGGCACTCTAATCGCAGAACTTGGGAGGCAGAGGCAGGTACAGCTCGGAGTTTGAAGCCAGACTGGTCTACACAGGGAGACCCTGTCTGAGAACCAAGCTAAACCCAAGGCAGGCCACTGATGAGCACATGGTTCTGGGGGCGGTATCCACAATGGGCAGACCCATTCTAGATCTGTGGTGAGGGTACCAGAAGGTAGGTATGGCAGGAAGCTGCACGCTCGGATCTACTCCATCACAAGCCAGAGACAGAGGCACTAACAAGCAATTCAAGGCCCAGCCTTGAGGTAAGGCCAGCCTCTCAGGGCGCCCTCCATACTCACAGACATCTGGTCCTTCCCCTGTTTTCCAAGTGCATTGGGTCTCAGGGTGCTTGCTTAGCACCCACCAAGTAGATCAGATCCCCAGCAGTCAGCTAAGGTGAGCCAGAAGCCAGCCCGGGAGCACTGGACAGACTCAACACTAAATTCTGACCAACACTGGGCTTACCTCAACACTGGGGCAGTCACTAGTGACCCAACAACTCTTGGCCTTAGCGGGTGAAATCCTTAGCCGGGCAAAAACGGATGGGCCAGCAGCACACTCAATGCGTGCCCCAGGGCCATACCACAGAAGATGTCACCAGGTCAAACACCACGCATAGGACATGATCAACACGCGGCCCAGCAGGTCTGAGTGACTACAGCGGTGTGAGTCCCTCAAGGACAGGAAAGCACAACGACGACACACAGCCTCTGTGACACAGCTTTATTGGTTAACACTGGAGTGTCCCCAAGTGGCTCTGGATTACTGGTGTGATGGGAGGAGGTGGTGCCTCGCTGGAGATACAGGACCTTCTTCATGTATAGACAATGACAGCCGACATTAGATGACTGGGGTGGGGGCCCCACACCTGGGGAGAGATTATTCCCATTGAGTCCCTAAACACTCTCCCCACTGAAGGGCTGGAGCCACAACAGAGCCAGCCTGTCTATCACAGCCTGTCACACTGGTCATTGTTGGTCCTCGTGCCACCAGGATGGCGCCTTGCCGGCGGCGGGGGCCCCGGTCTTCTCTGATGCCCCTTCAGCAGTGCAAGCTTCTTAGGCAGGCTGGAGCTGGCCTTCATCACCACGTCATGCTCCATCTTCTTCCGGATCCCCACTTCCAGGCTCTGTGGGGGACACAGAGCAAGCCCTTACTCTTCCTAGCTTGAGCATACACATCTTCCTTTTGTTCTTTGTGAATGGCTTCAGACTCAACATCTTCCTGCTTTGACGTACCCTTGCCGGGCCTGCATGCTACCGTGCTCAGGTCAAAAGGAAACCAAATCCTTCTATCTCTGTGTCTCTGCTCACACCCATTTTACAGGTGGGGAAACAGAGGTTCCCGCATTAAGCAGGGTCCCAAAGTCAGGGGTAATGGTGATAGCTCTTTCTGTCCCATGTCTCACCCACTTTCCTAGGGCTCCAAGTGAGGCCATGAGTCAGTTTAAGTCACTGACTGGCAGCTACCCCATCCACTCCTGCTCTGCCTGAGCGCCTATGACTATGACAGCTTCATGGGGTGAGCACAGGAGTTCTGAGGAAGACAACAGTGTGTCTGTCAGTCATGAGAGCATGAGAAAAGTACTGCTGATAAAAAAGGTTCCAGGGACACTGTGTGAGCACACTGTGTGGTGTCTGAGAAGACTGGGGCTAGCAGTGGGACAGGCCGAAGGATGAAAAGCAATGAGGACCGGGAGGTGAAGGACTTGGGCTTTTGCTGAGCAGAAAGCAACCATGGAAGGTTCTGGACAGAACAGGAGCCAGTTTTGAGCACAGGCAGGTGCCTAAGCTGCTGTAGCAGGGGGAGGGTAGCCTTGGCTAGGAGCTGGCCTTGAAGGTGGATTCTGGATGGATGCCAAAGGGATCAATCTGCATATGACCCATGTTCAAGGATGACCTCTGAACCCAAGAGGGCAAAAGGCAAAGTGGTGGGCTGTGGGAGGAGCTCACTTAGAACCTGAGAGTAGGTGCTCTATGGAGCAGAGGAAGGTGTCGGGTAACCTACCTGGGGAGACAGAGTGAGCTTAAGATTTAAGCCAGATTGGATCTTCTGACTTTCTTATTAATTTTTAATTTTTGTGTATGAGTGTTTTCTCTGCATGCATGTCTGTGTACCACAAGAATGCAGTGCTGGAAGAGAGCAGAAAAAGGCACTGGAAACCCCGTAGGACTAGAGTTAGGGATGATTGTGAGCTGCCTCGTGGGTGCTAGGAACCAAATCGAGGTCTCATGGGAGAGCAGCCAGTCCTCCTAACTGTTCACCCCATACTCCCAACACTCAGGTGACAGAGACAGGGCAAGTTCAAGGCCAGCCTGGCCTAGAGTCAGACCGTCTTTAAAAAAGGCTGGAGCTAGGTGTTGTGGTGCACACCTTTAACCCCAGCACCCAGAAAGCAGAGGCAAGCCTCTGTAAACTCAAGGCTAGCCTGGTCTACATAGTGAACTCCAGACCAGCTAGGGCTGTCTTAGGAAAAAAGGGGGTAAGGAGTGGATAGACTGGGAACGTGGCTACGCTAGTACAGTGCCTGACTAGTGTGCACAAGACTGAATTTAACCCACAGCACTCCCATAAACAGGGCTGAGTGGGCCACACCAGCCCCAGCAGCACACTGGAGGCTAGGCTGTATAGCTCCAGGCTAGCTTAGGCTTGTGTGAGGATCTTTCTCAAAAAGCACAGAAGCAGACAGAACACAAGAAAACAAAACAGGGCTGGAGGAATGGCTCAGTGCTTACAGGGCACGTAATTCTCTCTCAGATGACCTTAGTTATGTACCTAGCACCAGGTCATGCTCACAGCTCATACCACCTGCAACTCCAGGAGATCAGATGCCCTCTTCTGGCCTCTGGGGGCATATGCACTCAGGTGCACACACCACACATACACACATAATTAAAACATAATATTATTTTGGAGGCTACAGCTGTTCAAAGCACATTCATTCATTCATTCATTTCTGAGACAGTGTCCTGGATCTTACTTTGTAGACAAGGCTGGTCTTGAACTCAGAGCTTTGTCTTTGCCTCTTGATTGCTGGGATTAAAGGCCTGGGCTATCATGCCCACCTTTAGCACTTCTGGCTCTTTAAGACCAGGGTTCAGTTCCCAGCACACATATGATGGCTCAAAGGCCATCAATAACTTTAATTCTAGGATTTTGGACATCCTCTTCTACCTCTTCGGGTACAAGACTGACACACACAGACACACACAGACACAGACACAGACACACACACACACACACCTGTGCTGCGTGCGCAGACAGTGGCAAAACACTCATACACATTAAAAAACAACAACAACCGGGCGGTGGTGGCGCACGCCTTTAATCCCAGCACTCGGGAGGCAGAGGCAGGCGGATTTCTGAGTTCGAGGCCAGCCTGGTCTACAGAGTGAGTTCCAGGACAGCCAGGGCTACACAGAGAAACCCTGTCTCAAAAACAAAAACCAACCAAACAAAACAACAACCCGAGGCTGGCTATCTGCTGACAGTCCATAACGCGCACCCGAAGCCCTCAGAAGCTAAGGGCGGGGCCGGGATTCAGCTGGGGATCCTCTCGGCTGTCCCCCATCCGGGATCACTTGCATCGCTTCACTCACCTTCTTCAGCTTTTGCTGCTGCATAACGCGCGCCTTCTTGGGAGCGATGACTCGACCTGGGTGGGGAGAGACAGCAGCCGGTGAGCCTGGGCCACCTTCCCGGAGTCTGCCGTCCTCTCTCCCTCCTCTTCCTGCTCACCCCGTTCCTTACCGCCTTTCCGAGGCCCGCGGCTCCGCTCCGCCGCCGCCGCCTTGCTTTTAGGTTTCTGCGCCTGAAACTTGCGTTGTCCCTGCGCCATGTTTCACCGCAAGTCGGAAGAGGCGGGGCAATGCGAAAGAGAGCCGGAAGTTGCGGGACGCCATTGGCTACAGTGGGCCGCAAAGACTCAAGGCCTCACAGGATACAGAACGGCACTCTTAAAGGAGCAGCTGTCCAAAAAGTTGAAAGGAAAATTATGTTACCATTTTCAGGGGTAAGACCATATTTGTGTATTATAAAATATGCGGTTTTTATACATAAAAGTTCAAATAAGGCTTGGGGTGTAGCAAACGAGAAGCTCCTTTTGGAGAAAAATTAAAGGACTGTCAAAAACCTTCAGTAATTATTGGTAGGAAGGCTCAACCGGTAAAGATGCTTGCTGCCATGCCTGAAAACTTGAGTTTGCTCCTGGGTGGTGGCGCAGGTGTTTATCAGCACTAGAGAGGCAGAGAACTGACTCCTGTCCTGTAGATCATTCCCACGCACAGAATAAAGATGTCACTAAAAAAAATAATCCCTTACATTAATGCATTAATTTTGCAGTTGTGCTGGGGACAGATAGCAGCCTCATATTTGCAGCACAAGAGCTGCCACAGCTACAGCCCCAGCCATGCTCTTTTTAATTTTAAAAGATTTAAAATATGCACCAGGTGGCTGGGGACATGGCATGGGGGCAAAGTGCTTATTGTCTATGCAGGAGACCCTGAACTGCAACTCCATCATTTGCTGGTGCACACACCTGCTGGCCCAGGGCTGAGCAGGCTGAAGCGGGGAGGACCCCTGCAGTCTAGCCTAAATCTTGAGTTCCAGGTTCAGAGACTCTCAAGAAATAAAGCAAAGCAGGTTGTAGGGCTCACACCTTTGACCTTTTGCTCAGGAGGCAGAGGTAGGTGGGTCTCTGTGTGAGTTCCAGGCCAGCCTGGTCCATAGAGCAAGTTCAAGGGCAGTCAGAACTACAAAGAGACTGTCTTAAAACACAAATACTTATCTTGATTACTGAACTTTAGTGTCCCTCTTTTATAGGACTTAGAGGACCTGGGTTTAGATCCCAGCACCCACATGGCAGCTCACAACCATCTGTAATTCCAGTTCCAGGAGATCTGGTGCCCTTTTCTGGTCTCGGAGAGCACCAGGGGTTTGCATGTAAAACCCTCACACATATATAAAAGTAAATAGCCAGGCAGCAGAGTACACATATTTAATCCTGGAACTTGGGTGACAGAGTCAGGAGGAACTCTGAGTTCGAGATCAGCCTGATCTAAAGATTGTTCCAGGGTAGCTGAGGCTACACAGGGAAATCTTGTCTAGAAAAACAAAACAAAAGGGAAACAAAAACAACAAAAAAAAGTCTTCAAATGTAACTAAGAGAACACCCTGATTATCTCTGCTTTAGTTTGTTTCAATCTGTAGCCCAGGGTAGCCTAAACTCTAAAGAAATCTTCCTGCCTCATTTCCCAGCAGGGATTACAGGTGGATGACCCCACATCTGACTTTCATCCCATGCACAGATAATTCAAAGGACAAGCCTGGGACAGGAGCTCAGGCCGCTTTGCTGTGACGCTGGAACTCGGCAGAACCTGGCAAACCATGTCCACTCCTGCAGCTGGAAGAGGGAGTATGGGTGGGTGAAGATGAACTTTGGGTAGCCATTTGAGAACTTTATTAGAAAACCAGAGGAAGGCAGGGCGGGGCAGGGTAGGGTGAGCCAGCTAGTCACACCTGGGGACTATCTAGGCTCTGTCCCTCTGAGAAGATGGAGGCACTTAGGGCTGCTCGGAGCTCCTCAGGGGCAAAGACACCCAGCTCAGTGATAATGCCACCTGTGATGAGTTCGTGTGGGGTGACATCAAAAGCAGGATTCCAAACCCGGATTCCTGCAGGGGAGAGAGGGCACGTGAGGTTGGGGCTTGGCTCTGAGAACTCCCTGGGTACTGGCATTTGTCCTCAGCACAGTCTTAGGCTACAGAGTCCTGAGACTCTAGGAATTCACACATACCAACAGTGAGGGATGCAAGTACCGAGGCCAGGAAAGGACACACCCTGTATGTGCTGCCCAAGAAGTCTTCAGCCTTATGATGCATGATTTCTAACCCAGCTCTTGCCTGGCCCCAAGATTTTAAGAATTTCAGAATCCACCCCAGGGCCTTCGCACTGACTCAGACATGGGTATGCTTTGCTGTTGCATCTGTTTTTCCAGTTCTTGGGATGGGGCGGAGCCCTTCATAGATGTTTAGAAAACCAGTTTTAATGTAATTACTTCTCTAACACAGGGCCATACGTATAGCTTGGGCTAGCCTCAAATTTTCTAAGTAGCCAAGGCTGGTTATGATGTTCTGGTCTTAATGTCTCTACCTTCTGAGTGCTAGGTTTACCAGATGTACAAGATTAGCAAATTATTTTATAATGTCTCTGTTATTCTTTGAGACTTTTGTATATGATGTATTTTAATTGTTTTTAACTTAAAATGTTTTTGATGTAGTTTTGGGGTTAAATCTCAGGTCTTGCAAATACTAGCAAGTACTTCATACATATCTGAGTTACACCCTTGGCTGTCTCTAAAATATTTATTTTGGGATAAAGTTTATATTGACGAGGCTGGCCTTCAACTGGTGATCTTCCTGCTTCAACCTCCTGAGCAGCCACCAGAACCCAGGGTTTCTGTGTAGCTCTGGCTATATTAGAACTCTGTAGACCAGGCTGGCCTCAAACTTGAAGATCTGCTTGCCTTTGCAAGTGCTGGGATTAAAGGCATGTACCGCTGCTACCACAGTCTGGCTCTGATTTTTGAGATGGGGGGTCTTACTATGTAGCCCAGGTTGATCCTGAACTCTCAGCAGTCCTCCTGCCTCAGCTTCCCCAGTGCTGGGATCACAGGTGTGGTATGTACCTCCATCCCTGACTTTCTGTGTAGACATCTATCTAGGCCAAGACTTGCTAGTTTTATGCTTTTCTGACGGGATCACTTGGTAGACCACACTGCCTGAAACTCAGCTGTACCATCTGGTGGTCTTGAACTTGTGCAGCTCCTCCTGCCTGGGCTTCTGGAACATTGGAATTACAGGTTGCACTAGCACACCCAGCACTGTTGACATGTGTGCATGTGTTCTTACACAGAGAGTGAGGGGCAAACTTCAGCTGTGGTTCCTCAGGAAACAGCCAGCTTAAGTCTGGAGACGGTCTCTCACTGACCCTGGGCTCACTGACTGTACTCTGCTGGTCAGAAGCCCCAGGAAGCTGCCTTCTCTGTCTCCCCAGCACTAGAATTACAAAGCTGGTTCTTGGACTGGAGAGATGGCTCAGAGGTTAATAGCAATGACTGCTCTTCCAGAGGACCTGAGTTCAATTCCCAGCAACCACATGGTGGCTCATAACCATCTGTAATGGGATCTGATGCCCTCTTCTGGTGTGTCTGAAGACAGCTACCATGTATTCATATACATAAAATAAATAATTCTTAAAAAAAAAAAAAAAGTTGGCTCTGAGCCCCAAACGCAGGTCCTTATCCCAGTCTCTACCTGCTGAGCTCTGTTCCTAGCCGCAGTGCTATTCACACAGTCCGGCCTTGAATTTAACCTACATCATCGGAATCCAGCTAAGGAGAGGCTCAAAAGAGCCACGTGGCTCATGCTGTTGAAGCCTGCAACGCCCAGAGTGCCAACCCCACACCTTACCCTGTGCAGCAATCCTCACTCCATTCAGGTCAGTCAGCTCCTGGCTGGGGCGTTCCTCTATGACAATCTCCTTTCCAGTTTCCAGATGGAGGTCACAGGATGAACTGGGGGCAGCCACATAGAAGGGGACACCGTGGTGCTTAGCAACAATGGCCAGCTGGTAGGTGCCTATTTTGTTGGCTGTGTCTCCATTGGCAACGACACGGTCAGCTCCCACTACCACGGCTGGGGGTCGGAGGAGAGTTAGGGAGGTCACCTGGCTCTGGATGCCCAAGGCTTTCCAGCCCCACCGTGCCCAGCCCACTGACCTGACACTCCCTGGTGTGCCATGGCTGCAGCCGCCATGCTGTCAGTGATGAGAGTCGCGGGGATCTGCTCGTACACCAGCTCGAAGGCTGTCAGCCGAGCTCCCTGGTTGTACGGCCGGGTCTCCGTGCAGAAGGTATGCTCCAATCGGCCCATCTCATGCAGTGACCGGATCACACCTGTGGTCAGACAAGCAGGGTGATCCCGAGGCCGGGGCTGCAAGTGTGGTGCACAGCATGGCTCCCAGCCTTTCCTGTCCCCGACACTCTTCCTACCTTCCCTCATCAACTTTACGTCTCCATCCCGACACCCTGAGGCTCCTCAGTCTCACCAGCAACCCCATCATTCTGATCTTTAGTCACTGCCCTGTCCTTGTCACTTAGGACGATTGTCATTGAGACAGGGTCTTGCTATAAGGTTCAGGTTATATCTTTCAAGGTGTAAGATGATCTTCTTTGCCCTAGCCCACTGAGTGGCTGTTAGCACCTTCTGATAATTTATTTTCTGTGTTTTCTGCAGTGCTGGGGATGGATGGAAGCTGTGGCCACACACGGCAGAACGACACATGGCAGAGCCGCGCACACAGCTCTTCAATGGGTTCTCACTTGTGCCCCTAAGCCCCTTGTCACTTCTCTCTGTACTCCAGCCTGCAGGTGCCTGGGATCTTTTCCATGGTTCACCACTGTGTTCTTACTTGCTGGAACAGTCAGTAGTTGCTTAATGTCTGTTGGCTGAGTCAATGAACAGGGCCCAGGAGCCTCCTTGATATGCCTACACCTGCAGACAACTTCCCAAGGGTTTCTGTACAGGAGCTAATATACTGGGGGTAGAAATAAAAACATATTATGCCAGGCTGGAGAGACCGCTCAGTGGCTAGGACACTTGCTGCTCTTCCAGAGGACCTGGGTTTGGTTCCTAGCACCCACACACTGGCTCACAATCATCTGTATCTCTAGCTTCAGGGGCTCTAACACCATTTTCTGTCCTCTGGGCACCAGGTACATGCATGATCCACATACACACACAGCAGGCAAAAACACTCATATACACAAAATATTATTTAAAAAAAAAAAACCCAAAACTAATAGTCACATTTCTGTGGCTCCAGTAGTTTCTTTTTAGATTTTGGAGATTAAATCCTGAATTTAGTGTATACTTGTGTACACTAAGCTAAGTACGTATTCTTTTAAAGTGTTTACTTATATTTTAAAGATATATTTACTTTATTTATATGAGTACACAGTAGCTGTCTTTAGATACCCCAGAAGAGGACATCAGATCCCATTACAGATGGTTGTGAGCCACCATGTGGTTGCTGGGAATTGAACTCAGGACCTCTGGAAGAGCAGTCGGTGCTCTCAACTGCTGAGCCATCTCTCCAGCCCTGAAGTGTTTGTCTTTAATTATGTGCGTGTGTGTCTCTATGCATGTAAGTGCACGTGCCCACGGAGGCCAGAGGGTGTTGGGTCTTCTGAAGCTGGTGTTGCAGGCAGTTACTGGGGGTGCTGAGAACGTAATAGGTCTTTTCGAGAGGGGTCCACACTTTTAAACTGCTGAGCCAGCCCTAGCTAAGCAGGTACTCTTGCCACTGGGCCACACCCCCAGCCTTGGTTGTTTTGCCTTGCATCCCGGAAAGACTCTCCCATGCCCCGACAATCGAAGGTGCCTCCTCACCTAACGCTGTACCATAGCCAGCAGTAGCCAGAGCACCCGTGTTACAATGGGTCAGCACGGTCACCTTGCCACCCTTGGGGTTGGTCTGCTCTAGGAGATGGCGGGCTCCCAAGTCCCCGATGCTCCGGTTATCTTTGAGGTCCTTTTCCAACATAGCCTCGGCGAAGCGGATCACTCTGGGGACAAAAGAAGCTCCTAGCACAGCTGGAAGGGACCTCGCTAACTTTGAAGGGGACAGACAACCTGAGGATACACCTGCCACTCTGCTCACTAATATACGTGAGCCAGGCACTGGGGGTGGGGCACGGAAGTAAACACAGGAAACCCTTTCCCTCCGTGATGATGACGTTAGGGTGGGAGAGGCAGGTGATGAACAAGAGGGACAGAATCAGGGACAAAGTGTTTTTACAGAAAGGGAGGGGAAGGAGCAGGAACCTGGAGATGGAGTTCTTTTTTTGTTTTGTTTTGTCTTTCACAGGGTTTCTCTGTATAGCCCGGGCTGTCCTGGAACTCACTCTGTAGTCCAGGCTGGCCTCAAACTCAGAAATCCGCCTGCCTCTGCCTCCCAAGTGCTGGGATTAAAGGCGTGCACCACCACCGCCCTGCCTGGAGATGGAGTTCTAACTGCAGTGTTTTATGCTCTAGGGTCTAGTCTCAGGCCAGACCAGGAGCCATACCGTGCAACAGAAAAGCAGTTAGAACAAAGTGGCTTGGCCGGAAGTGGGATGGGAAAGAGAGGAAAGCAGGGCAGAGCACACAAGACTTCAAGGCAAACAAGACAGAACCGGTGTAATGAAACTGGCGTGGCGCTGCTAAGGGGCTGAATTCAAGAACCTGGGGAACACAGAGCAGGGACTGACTCCTAGTCCTGTCTCTGGGCCTCTGGACACCGCACATGCGTGCACTGCGCCTGCTCCCTGGCATCAGAATGGAAAAGGGAGGTCGGCAGCCTCTGCTCGGTGCGGTGCCAGGTCCAGGATCCCGTACCTTTCCCGCACGGTCTCTTCAGTGGCACCCTCTCGTTCCGCCTCCCGGGCCGCCACGTGAGCCAGATCGCGGGCGGCACGAGCCATGTTGACAGCGGTGGGCCGGGCGGCGACTAGGAGGCGCAGCTGGTCTCGCACGAAGGCCACCAGAGCGGCGAGCCCGGGACCGCCGGCGCCCGCCCGCAGCTCCACGGCCAGGCTGAGACAGCCGACCAGCGCGATGGCGGGGGCGCCGCGCACCTTCATGGCGCGGATGGCTTCCCCGGCCTGCTGCACGGAGCCCAGCACCTCGTAGTGGCAGTGCTCCGGCAGCTGCAGCTGGTCAAGGATCTGCAGCGAGCCCGGAGAGTAGCGAATCGCTTCCAGTCTCATGTTGGCTAACCGGCAGGTCCGCACCGAAGTCCACACGGGCTGCGGGGCGGAGTTGCGGCCTGGTGCATGCGCATGCGCACACGCCGCCCTGGTTGTCCGGCAATCAGTGTCGGCCAGAGTGGTCGCAACCTGTCCCAAAGCTAAGCAGGGAGCTCCAAGATGCTAGGCGATGGGGTTATGTTTGCCGAGAACCGTCCATCCGTTACGGAATCGATTACTTGACAGCCTCGGCTCTGCTTAGCCACGTCTCACAGACATCCAGCGTTTAATCAGTTTGTCAAATGACCTTCCGTGGGACTACTTTTGTCTCCATTCCTTTAAAAGTAACCACCATGAGGGACTTTTATTCTTAGAGGCTGAAGAGATTGCTCAGTGGTTGAGTCCGTACTGCTCTTGTAGAGGACCAAAGGCTTTACGGCTGCCTCTCTCTCTAGTTTTAAGGGATTCAAGGCCCTCTTTCAGACCTCAGTGGGGTAACATACTCACACATGCAAACGCTTAAAAATAAATCTCAGTCAGATTTTAATCCCAGCATTCAGGAGGCAGAGATCTGTGAGTCCGAATCCACCATAGTCTACAGAGTGAGTTCCAGGACAGCCAGGGATACATGAGAAACCCTATCTTAAAGCTGGACCACGTCTTGTCTCTATTGCTGGGGTGCCGGTATGATAGCTGTCTATACCTGGCTGGGTTAGGGTGTTTTTGATGGTTTGGCCATCACGAGTGGCACACAGCAGCCTGTGACATGGAGTTCTTGCCTACCTTTCACATTATTTCTCTAGCTCCAGCAGCCCTGTCCTTTTTCAGCTTCCTTATGCAGTCCCTGTCACCACCAGTCTCGGTCCAATCTCAAACCCTTCATCATGCTGTGTGGGACTGTGCTGCTGTCACAAGGAGGCTGCAGTAGCATCTGGGTGGGAGTGAGGGCAGGGCAGCTACGAGGGGAGTTTAGTAACACAAGGCAGGGACAAAGAACAGCACTTTAATGTTCAGGAATCAGGGCTTACATCAAGGCACAGGCATCCTCACCAAAACCAAATAAATAATACTCTGTATAGGACAATAAGTCTGTGGCTGGGCAGGTGGCAATGCAGCCAGTCCCTAAGGTCTGCACGAGTCATGGCTTCTGTCCTGGAATTCTGACTCCTTTACTCGCTCTCTGAGTCAGAGTAGTCAGCTACCAGGGAGGCACTGGGGGTGTTCGGGTGCAGCAGGTCCTCCTGGGCCTGATCGCTACAGTTTCTCTTAGATTCTGATGTCTTGCTGGTCCTGGGTGCCTCTGCTGTCTCTTGAAGTGTCTTGCTGTCTTGGGTGGTTCCTGGTGGCCCTCTTGGTTCTTCTGACAAGGAGTTGTCCAGTGCACACTGGGGACTTTCTGGAACGTCTCGAGACTTTCTCCTCACTATGCCCAGGTCCCCCACTGTGCCTGTGCTGCTGGGGGGTGGTCTGCGGCCCTGGCACAGCTTCTTCAGGACGTTGCTGGCTTTGCTGCTGCTTGCACTGGGACCCTGGGCTGAGGGGAACCAAGAGCGGTGGATGATCTCTGTCCGCTTCATTCTCTGTTTGTCCTCATAAGCTGTGGGGAAGGGAGTGTATTATATAAGGGAGGGCCAGAGGGTCAGAGGCAGAGTGGGCAAAGAACACACCCTGAGCCTTGAGCTTTCTTCCCACCAGTGTAAATAACAGGGCGCTAGGACCAAGTGCCTCGAAACCCTGCAACCTCTGCCTCCCATGAACCTCCCAGCCCAGAGCCAGCACTCACAGTCCAGGGTGTGCAACCTTAGCAGGGCAGCCAGCCTGCGGTCATCCTCCGACTCTGGCACAAGAGGGATGGCTAGGCTGGCCTTCGCCTGCAGTGCCTGGTCCTTCTCTTCTTCCTCCTGCATGGCTTTCTTCTTCTCCTGTGGGTGGGTGTGGCACAGAGACAGGGACATCAGAACCCCACCTCTTTGAGACCCATAGGTCTCACTCCAGCCACTGGGTCTCAGTTTCTCCCTTGATACTGGAGCAAGGGAGTGGCCCAGACAGAGCCTGTGATACAGAAGCGGCCCCATGTGTAGGCTCTGAGTATCAGTGTCCTGCGACAAAAAGATGGCCATATGCCCCAACGCTACACTTTGATCAGTGATGGGCTGAAGGTGTGACCTACTAGATAAATCATATAAAATCTGATAAGGGTGTGCTGGCCCATGCCTGTGATCCCAGGCAGGGACGAGAATTTAAGGCCATACTTAAGCCTGAGGAATATTGATGATTCTGGGGTCCTAGAATTTTTCCTACCCTTTTGCTTTGGGGGTAAGAGGGCAAGGTCTTCCTCTGTAACCCAGACAGACCTGGAACTTAAAAGTAGTTCCCCTGCCTCAGCTTCCTGAGTGTTGTGGCTAAGCCCAGCTTTCTGGTTTTGAGGTTAGTCTCCAACTCCTGGGCTTGGATGAATGATTCTCCCATTCCAGTCCCGAGTAGCTGGAACCACAAGCAGACACCACTCAAACTGTCTCCCTGCTTCTGCTGAAACTTTTTTGTTTGTTTGTTTGTCTGTCTGTTTTCAAGACAGGGTTTTTCTGTGTAGCCCTGGCTGTCCTGGAACTCACTCTGTAGACCAGGCTGGCCTCGAACTCAGAAATCCGCCTGCCTCTGCCTCCCAAGTGCTGGGATTAAAGGCGTGCGCCACCACCGCCTGTCTTTGTTGAAACTTAGTTCCCTCTGTGACAGCTGACAACGACAACAGGAAGCTTTGGGGAGGTAACTTTGTGGGGGCTCTTTCTGTTTAAGGGAGTCAGTGCCTTACACAGGAGTCCACAGGGAGCGTGTTCCATCTGCCCCTTGATCCAGCAGGAAGTTCTGAAGAATGAGATTGGGCTCTCTGTACCTGGCCAACCTGTAGGTGGCTCACTGCTAGACTTCCAGTTTACACAGCAGTGCATAATATAATTTTAGAATAAACTTCCCAGTCTGTGGTATGTTTGTTATAGCAGCAGGAAGAGATTTAGGCAGAGCATGACTCTTGTGCTGCACATACGGAGCATGGAGTCAGACAGGAAATGACCAGCCTGCAGGTGGGACGTGGGGACACAGGTCAGAGTCTGCTGCTGTTTCCCTGTGGGGCTTCCCTCACCCGGAAGTGCCTCCGTAGCATGCTATTCAGAGCAAAGTCATCCTTCCAGGCATTCTGTGCCTCCTGGATGTGGCTGAGTGTGGGAAGGGCCTTCTTCAGCGTGCTGCGGTCAGCCTCACCGTGCTCTAGGCGGAACATGGCGTCCGTCTCCAGTTTCTCTTTCTTCTCATGCTCTGCAAGGACCACATAAGCATGACCCTGGGGAAGCAGCCGAGGGTCATGTGGGATGGGCAAGCAAATAGTGCTCACCTGTGGTCAGCACCTGCTCATTGTCTTCCATATCCCAACGCTCCTCCTTGCGACTGGCACCACTCACGATGACATAGTCACAGTTGGCAGGGTCTGTTTGCATCTCGATGTAGTTGACACAGAGGTGACATTTCATCCGGAACCTGGAGAGGAACTGGAGTTAGGATGCCGTGGCCCCATCCTGAGACCCTAGAACCACTGCCCACTTCTTTTGGTGTACCACACCCTTGGAGAAGTCACCGAGTACCCCTGCACCCAGCTCAGACTTGGGCAAACCCCGAGGAAGACGAAGGAACAGGTTTGCACATAGATGGAGCAACCAAGAGGCAGAAAGTGGGGCTGGAGGTTCCAAGTCTAGGGGCTGCTCAGCATGCTCATGTT